GTAATTTTTTGTGACATCTTGTAGATAGACGAGTCGCCATATTTAGAAACAGACTAACCCCGCACTCTTAAAAAAATAGTTGCATTTTTAGGTAAAAGCTAGCAACCGCTTGTCAAAAATGTTATTAGGTACCTAGTAACCGTAGGTAGTAACGGTCAAGCTAGTAACGGTAATGCCCGAATCCCACGAGAGCGACAAACAAACAACAAACACCGACATGCCTGAAACCATATAACTCAAATACCTCCAGCATGCACGCGATGGTACGTTTCATAGGCTTGAACTTTCGGTGCTCGTGAAGTGAGCAGGAGTGGTAGCAAGCCTGCCAAAGATACCTTCGCGTGTATGATGCATAGGTTTGAGGCTTGTCGGGGTCTGTTGTATCTGTTTGTCGCTCTAGTGGTACCAGGGCATTACTAGGTCAAGAGGCTGGTAACGGTTACTAACCAACTGAGTATTTTTTGCAACCTATAGCTAGTAACTGGTAGTAGCTCTCACTAGACTCAGGTGGCGCTAGTCAATGTCAAATTAAAAAGTGACCAATATTATTGTCGCTGGGATATATTGTTTCTGCACCCTGCTTACATTCACATTTGCACAGCGTTTATTTCTCACATTTGCAGACGTATTACATATACATTTAACACAGACAAGGAATTGAAACACAGAAGACCCACACACGCAAGCAATTTCCAGCAGCCATGTTCTCGCTTCCCCGCATAGACTGCCCACTTTGCGCATGCGCGTCTCCGTGGCAACCGCATCCTCTCTACACCGTAGTTCCGCTTCCTGGTGGGTACTTTACGCTTTTATGGCCACTGTCACGACCAACGACAGCTCCATGAGAATCATCTAAACACCGTGCGCACACAGACCGTAAAAATGAAGTTCTCAGTGCCAAGTGGGAGCAAAGCAGCGAGCCTTCTTAAACGGCAAAACCCATGCCACTGAACCGTCCGAGCGATCGCCCTCGAGTGGCGGATCCGGTGACGAGCGTCGTTAGGCCTATTCTCGGAGCAGTGCATGTCTACGCACACACCCGCCCCGTCCAGCGCACTAACTATGCACACCAACCTGAGAACACGACAACAGCACACGACACACGGAAAAACGGCAGGTTCAGATCGCAGAAATGAGCGTTTCGTAAACACCGACTAGTCCCAACTAAAGCCCCTCGATGTGTTTGCGCTTGTCTTGCAAGTAGCGTCAAATGCGCGAGCGCACGAGGCCCATGTCTCGAGCAGCCCTTGGAAGCAAATGGCGGCGCAGCACTGAAATGAGCGGGCCTTGGAAGCGAATGGCGGTGAAGCACCCGCTCATGGCACGTGTCTCGCGCGCTTCCACAACAATGGTTGGCGGTACTTGTAAAGAACGCTTTTATCAAGGGGCTTTAGTCCCAACTAGTGCCACAAAATCTGCTACGCTTTAGAGCTAGTAGCGACACTTGGCCATATTGTGGCTTAAAATCATGGTTGCCAGTTACCTGAAGCTTTATTTGAAATCACAGGAAGCGCTTTTCCGTCCTCCGCAAATGTTTAAACAGTTCGCGACAGAACAAATCAATATTACATGAGCTTCCTAACACCGAACCTAATGCCGAGGAAGTCTTACTTTTGAATCATGACAATCGGCAGTCGCGTCTTCTCTGCACAAGCCCAAAAATGGTGATGCCCACAGCAATGTTGGGGAACAGAATGCCGATACTCTAAGCGCGGCTTCATTTAGTGGCTCTAGTCCCACCTTGCTTGTCGTACAACGTTGCCAAGCGTCTCTTGCGAAAAAGAAGCTCATGTTGAAAAACAGCGCGACTGGGACGAGGACACACAGAGACGAAGAGAACACAAGACAATGCGCTGACTAGCAACTGGTTCGTTATTACAACATGAGGAAGAATGACAATGAAATGAAAAACATGGTGTCAAATGTTCGCGCGCTTGCTTGGCGCCTCGTGGAATATGCCCCTTTCTTCTTTTTTTCTTTTTCATCCGATTGTAGACTGGTGTTCTTCTTTCCTCAGGAGCTTGGGTTACCCTGAATCCAAAAACTTCATCTCGCTGGGAGTCATAGTCACCGACGGTTGGCTCACACACGAACTGTTGCTCTTCATGATGTTGTAGGCTTCTACCATCTCTCGACTTGTTTGGTCGTGGTGTTGAAATAACATGCTGGTGTTTTCGAACTGTGGTTCGCAACCGCAATCTCTGCGATGCATCGCTAGATGTGAATTAGCGGTGCCTTTCAAGGAACTGTGGTGCTCTCTTAGTCGGATGTTTAAGCACCGGCCAGTCTGCCCGATATAACAGCGCCCGCAAGAAAAGGGAATGCGGTAAACCACGCCCTTGACGCACGACACGAACTTTATCCCATGGTTTACATCACATGTGTTATATTCCGATCTTGCTATCCCCTCCCTGCATGCACGTACAGCGGAACATAATCTACTTAGTTTTTTTTTTTTTTTGGCTGAAAAAACAACGTTCACCTCGTATCTGGACGCGACTTTTTTAAGTTCGTGTGAAATGCGGTGAAGATAAGGAATGACCGAAACTTTCTTTTTTTTTTTAACTGGTTCTTCCAGTATGAAATTGGAACTAATCTTTACGAGTTTTATTAAACTATCGCATGCTGATGAAATAATTGAGTCTGGCTATCCTGAATCCCTAATCCTTTGAATCTGGGAAGTGAAGCTAACGCCCATTGTGTGAACACATGACTTTGTTAAAGCGGATTTCAAACAGGAATACACTATTCCTTTTTACGAGCTTCGAATGCGCTGACTGGTAGTTTAGCAAACTCTTTGATGTTCTAGGATGATACAACCAGCAAATGTGTTCTTCTGTAAATTCAACGAGGAGATCCAAAAACTGAATTCGACTCTCTTTTGGGGTCTCATAAGTAAACCTAAGGCCTTGGTCAAGCTCATGGAATACTTTAAGGACGTAATCTAGTGTTTTTTCGCAAACGGAGGTTTTAACAAATACCAAAAAATCATCAACATATCTAAAGATCTTAATGGTGTGATTTTCCAATTTTTGAACTAGAGCTCTACCTATATTCCCGAGGAAAATATCGCTTAGTACAGGCGCTACTCTTGACCCTATACAAACACCTGACTTTTGAACGTACACTTTTTCCTCCCACGCTATAAAAGTTCAAGGAAATGTTCAACTGTTATTCCGCATTGCGTCCTAAACTTAGTTTCGTTGTTATACTCCAAAATGCACTCTTGAACGCTTACCATGAGGTCATCATGAGGCAAAGAGTATAGTATAAGTCTTCTACATCAATGCTGAACACAATAAACGAAAAACAGAATTAACCTTCCTTGTCTTTGAAAAAGATTTTAGCACGTGGTACTTGGCTATTTTATTCTAGTTAAAACCAAAATAAAAATATAAACGCTTCTAAAAAGAAATGCAAACGGCAAGGAAGGTTAGAAGCTGCATGGCCATTGCTTCCACAATGGCTGGGCTCGTGGCAGAGCTGGCTTCCACGACGTGCTGGAACGGAGACTGCGATCGTTATAAAGTCAACTCCAAACCTTAATCATGCCGCCACTCACAATAATTGATGCTATGATTGTATTTAGATACTTCCCCCGAGTTCCGAAAGAGTGTGTGCATCGCTGACGCCGGCCATCGGCGATGCAGCAGACGCCGCCATCTTGTCCGCGCGTTTGGGCTAGTAAATAGCTAGTGAAAAGGTAGGAAAGGTCACAAAAAGGTAGTAACTGCTGCATTTACTAACTTTTTACTACCTATCGCGCGTTTGAGGTAGTAAATTGTTAGTGAAAGGTAGCAACGGTAAGGAAAAGGTAGTAACTGCTGCAGTCACTAGCTGTCTACTAGCTTTTCTGAAGAGTGCGCTGCTTAAAGGGGTCATGAAACGATATCTGGTTAGAATGTTCAGGAGTTTGCAGATGCGTACTGGTCTAGCCTTGCCAAAGTATACTCGTACAGACCGCCACTGATTCAGAAGCTTCTTTGTCGCGGTGAAATTGTGAGGATAAAGAGAACTATTTTAGTTCAGTCTTGCATTCGCAAAGCTTGATGACGTAATTATGGGATCGAAACCACCTGGCCTAAGAACAGTCAAGCGGGGCTCATGGATTGTACACAAGAACTGCCTGAGCACTCGACTTCGGCTCGTAACAATCTACGCCTCGGCAGACACTCGGGCTAGTGTCCAACCGCTGCGGGGATGAGAATATCCGACCTCTATTAATGTCTGGAGCTCAGCAAGCGTTTTCTACGTTGCCAACTTCAACACGTGCCTATGATTAACGTTGGCGGCCTAGAATATGCACCAGGCCGGGCGGCCGCTTGTTCTGACTCCGAGTTGAGGGGGCGAACGATGCTCATCTTACTCGAATTGTTTTGGTGACAACCGTAACCCACACAAAAAACTAATGTTGAAAAACAGCGCCACTAAGACGAGGACACAAAGAGACGAAAAGAACACAAGACAAAGCGCTGTCTTGTGTTCTTCTGTCTTGTGTTCTCTTCGTCTCTTTGTGTCCTCGTTTTAGTCGCGCTGTTTTTCAACATTAACTCTCACCAACTCGCCCAGTTGTCTATCCTTATCAAAAAACTAAGACAAGTTCATTTAGTTATTAACGTTAGCGAGTGATTCTAAGTAGTGTTTAGCGAAAGTTTAAAAAATCGTTTCTTGGCTCCTTTAATGACTTCGTTATCCACCACATTAATATTCATTTCCAGCTAAAAGCAGTGTGTTCTTTGTTCTTAGGTAGAGTTTTCGTTTAGTTTTTATTGTTTCACCATGCTCTGTTATCGCAAGGCCACCGTAGCCGGTCAAGTTTTCTATCAGACGCTTTTTGTCTGGTGTCCTCGGCCAATTTGTTGTAATGAAGATAAAGGTCAAATACAGGAATAGTGCATTTCGATTAGCGAACATCATACAAGTAGATAACAACGACAAAATGGACTCGTGGCAGTCGTGACGATCCTCTTCAATGCACCCTTTGGTCTTAGTCCAACTTTTCATATCGGTGGCCGGAACACGAGGGGCGCCTGGGGGTCCACCGACACCTCCAGTGCCTCCGTGGCGTTGTAGAGGGTGCTCCTGACCTCCGAGACGGAGTCTCCCTTGAGGCCCTGCTCTTCGAGCTCTTCGAAGTAGGCGTCCACGCGGTCCTTCGTGTTGGGCTCCCAGTGGTACTCCGGCACGAAGGCTAGGCTAGGTTTCTGAACCAGAAGACAGCAGTTTGAGTTCCACGTTACCAGGGCTCGCGAAATGTTTCGCCAAACGATCTATCGAAGATGCAGTTACATTTAGTGTCGAGACCGCTTATAACGAAATCAACGGATATTAAAAATCACTTCGCTATATCCGCTATTTCGTTATAACCGGTCTCGACAGTACACGTGCTAAAATGTTCCTAAGCTACATAACTCTTTCAAAATTTAACTGTGCTTCTTTAAGGTGAATAGAAGTAAAAGTTGTAAGCGGCGGACTATAGTTGTTTTCTATCGCGCCTCTATTGCACAGGTTGTACGAGGGTATACATTAAGTGCGCGTCTAAACGCACGCTATAGTTCGTTCCATCTGAACAGGCAGTAGTCGCAAAGCGGTGAGCTTCTTGCGATTGATGGCGCCTCAACTACAGGAATGCTCGGGTAGCGGTAGTGCCATGCTGTAAAGGCTACCCAGGGAAGCTCTTAGCCTGTGCTATTATTTTATATTAATGAAGGACATGGTATAGGTTCTCCAAACTCCAGTGCTGCGAAACCACGAGCCCAAGCTACCAGCTCGCGACCAAATGCTAGAGCTTCCACTACGGTCCTTCCTACAGTGGAATGAAGTGACCGGAGAAATATTCGCGCACCGGTAGTCCCTGAGGCCACGATGAACCATTTTAAATATCAAACGTCTCCTTTGCATTATTTAGAGCGCAGCTCTTGGGCGCTAGTTTCCGGCTTGAGCGGCGTCGGCGTAACCACGACCCCCCCCCCCCCCCCCCGAGGACCTCGGGAGAACCTTAGGTTCCTTCGGGAGGACCTCAGGTTCCTCCTCAGGGAGAGGGGGGGGGGGGTCACGTGACCCCTTCCCAGGTCACGTGATTCCCCGAGGTCACATGACCCCCCCCCCCCTCAGGACCCTTCCCTCCTCCTCCTCAAGAGCTGCGCTCTTATTCGGCTTTACAGATTGTTGTAAGCGGCTTTCACATTTTTTTCTCTCAGCAAGCAAGGCCCCATGTCGCATCCTTTCTCGCCCAATGCTCCGTAGTATGACTGGTAGTTTTGACCGACGTACCCGGATATTTTCTAGGAGACAGGCCGTAGCTCCGATGGGAATCTGAAGTAAGCCCGTGCAACCGATGATCCAAGCGAGAGCCTCGTACTCGCCGGGAAAGCGCATCTCGAAGTATCGCGGCGGTTTGTAATCAGACAGTCGATGAATGTAGAACACCTGCCGAAGAATCACCCGAGAAAAACAAGAAATCTCAAAAATCGAGAAGTTAACGTTTCCACAGCCGCATATCAGTAAGGCCGGACGGTAAAGTTAGCACGAAAACGATACCAGCATCTTGCGTACAGCAGTTCACTCGGACAGAACGACCAGAATGAGTTCAATCAACTCCACAACTTTGGCGAAGCCCATTCAGGTGCAAAGACATATATAAAAACAAAATGGCGAGTGCTTGTTCGTACTAACTGGATCGCTCTCTGTCAGTGACCGGAAGCATTCGCGACTCTAAAGAAGTGCATTTCATCCCCTTTTTACCTGCTTCGTGCTTCGGCCGTCAGGTAGCGCCAGTTTTCGCCACACGCATAGGTACCCTAGTAGCTCCCTGCTTCACTCGTACAAATCTTTTCCGCTGGGTGTCCTCGCCTTCTCTGGAGTTTGATCAGCGTTGGCTAAATGGCGCAAGCCGCCACCTGATTAAAAGACTTCAGCCAGATTCATTTATTGATCTATCCACTGCGACTAGAGCTACTAGAGCTACGCTTTCTTGCGTGGAAATTAAGGTCTATTTTACTAAACATGTAATAGGAACCAAAAAGCGATCAGCGGAACCTGCTATCACTTGTGTAGACGTATATTTTCTACTGCGAAAGACGGATGCTAAGTCACTGAAAAGTTCCGAGAAGCGGTTCTAACTTTAGAGTTCGATAACGCTAAGTTTTGGAGCTTCGGCGCCTAAACCTAACAAAATGCGCTGCAGTCAGGTGCAGTCTGAGATACTAATGAAGCGCAAGTTAATTCCTTACTGCGAAAACGCGGTTCGCGTTTCTCGGCCGACACCCTGTACTCCCAGTGCATGAGTAAAAATATAAATGCATTACCTACAAGCTAGGGCCGCGTAATTGATCGATTAACTAGGCCGATAATCAATAAATGTCCTAATTACAGGCTAAATTCTTGTCTGATTAATCGATTAATTTTTTTTTGTCGCGGTTATTTATTTTGAGGCTGTCAAGCTCAACATCAAAAATTGATTCATTTCAAAATGGGTCTTTAAGTAGTCACGTTTTTAAAAAATAAACGAACGCGAGCGCGAACGCGAACGCGAGCGCAAGTTCGTCTGCTTCATTTGCAGGGGTTGCAGGGACGTCAGAACGCCGAGCTCTGAAAGACCTGTAGCTCTCAAGTTTTGAACAGCGCTCCTGGCGAGAAACATCGGATATTTTTAGGTCGCGTGCGTTGCGTTGCGTCCTTTCAAACGCTGTGTTAGTGCGCGTAAACCATGAGCAAACGCCGAAGGAAGCTGGCAGACGCTAGTTTACGACCGTGGAAGGTACGTGGGGGGACGCCAGGACGCCGCTTCACGTCAGCAATAAGTGGTCGCGTCATCGCGAACGCTAGCGAAGGCCCTTCTTTTGTGGTCGCGTCTCGTGAACGCTACAGCGCCCCCTCGCCTAGAGAAACAAGCCCATTGGCTCCGATTGAAGGATAGTGGGTAGACCTCGAAGCAAGCTGCCTTGAGGCCTACCCACTATCCTTCATTCAGAACCAATCAGAGCTCGGCGTCGTTCTGACGTCACCACAACCCCTCCAAAAGAAGCAGACGAACTTGCGCCCCGCATAGCTTCCCATCCACCCACTAAAGGCTCTGTTATACTCCGACGTTGAGAGCAGCGAATGCAGCGTAGCGCAAAACGTGCGCCTTTCGTTGGCCGCCGAACAGGAAGCCGATATCTGCGACCAATCGGAATCTGTGTGCGCTGCACTTCGTCACGTTTGCGACGCACAGTGTCAGAGTGTAACAGAGACTTAACCATTCCAATCAAAGCCCGGCGCCTTGACGTCTCCTCCCACTCTCTCTCTTCATCTCCCTCAATTTCTCACCGTATACGAATCATAGTCATTTTCTTCCACGATGGTATATTGTTAGATTTATAAATTTGTATTATTTTATTACGTTTATTACAATCCGCAGGAGGACGATTAACCGACTAATGTGTCAACTAAAGTCACCGATTGAGTCGATTAAATATTTTAATCAAGTTACAACCCTATTATTAGGAAATTTTCAAAAAAGTAGAGGCGTAAAACGGAGAACTCTATACGTTTATAACGTTTGATATAACATATTTAACGGATACCTATCATAGACCAAACCTACACGACTTGAAGTTAAAAACAAAACACTGATATTAAAAAAAAAAAAAAAAATTTTCTTTACGGGCGTAGATAGGACACATCAAGTTTTGTAAATGTTTTTACACAAAAAAAAACTATTTTAGCAATATTTACGCCGTTTCACGGGATTGAGGTGGTGGTAGCCCACCGTATAGGCCCCTCCCAGGAACGTAGTTAACTATGTTCCATTCTCGGCTATCATTGGTTGGAGGGATGATTGACACGTGGGTTGTTCGTTGTAAAATTGTTTCTCCGTGCCGTATTTGTATTTTTATCAACAATATTTTTTATGTTTGAGAAACAAATTATCTACAGGGTGATTCAAGGAGAGGCCAGGCTATTTAAGTCGACCGCAAAATTCGGTTTCTTAAACTATCCCGCTACGACTTTGTGCAGCGTTGGCCACGGATGGTGCATTTTTTTTTTTTTTTTTTTTGTAAAATTTGCAAAGAGCGAGCTTACCTGAGGAAAAAGTAAAGAAAGAAAAAGGCTTAGCTCCTATGGAAACGCAGCGACGCCACCGGTCTTCAAATAATACGGCGCCGTTTCGCACGGGAGACAAGAGATGGCGCAAGCGGCCGCGACGCCAGCTGCCGCCAACGAACGATCATACGACGCCGAGAGCCGGCGTCTTTAGCAGACAAGGAACTGCAGTTCCTTGTTGTTACCACGCCTGTTTTTGTTTCTCCGACTGTCGCCGCCTGCGGAACGCGCGCCGCTTTTGAGTCGAAAAGATTGCCTGCTAAAGACGCCGGCTCTCGGCGCCGTATCCTCGTTCGTTGGTGGCGTTCGTTGCGCCATCGCTTTCTCCCGTTCGAAACGGCGCCGTGTTGTTTGAAGACCGGTGGCGTCGCTGCGTTTCCATAGGAGCAAGCCTTTTTCTTTCTTTACTTTTTCCTCAGGTAAGTTCGCTCTTTGCAAATTTTACAAAAAAAAAAAAAAAAAATGCACCATCTGTGGCCAACGCTGCACAAAGTCGTAGCATGATAGGTTCAGAAGCCGAATTTCACGGTCGATTTAAAGAGCCTGGCCTCTCCTTGAATCACCCTGTAGATGGGGTGAATATTGTTTCGGTTTCAAGCGATAACGAGCATGGCTGGCGGCGTATGCGGTGTGCTGAAAGATCCTATAGTTTGTTGAGCTGGTTTCTTTTAATGCGTGCTAGTCGTTCTGCGTTCACCGAGGTGTTTAGAGGAAGACCTCTTCAACCGACCTAGTTTGCACACAACAAATGTCGCAAGTACGCGCCTTCGTAAACGCAGTGCGGGTGCTTCTTTTGTTCGCGGGACTGGACTAAGCCTAGCGCCCCACATCAACTACTGCCTGGGTCAAAGGGATCGATGGCTGTTTGATGGCACCGAATAAATCGTTTTATGAACGTATCACATCAGGATTTACTACAGAGGTGTTCGAAAGTGGTGGGAGCTTCCATTAAAATTTTGGAAAGTTTGGCTCCCCTGCGTCAATCACAAAAAAACCAAAACTAACTTTTCTTTATACAGGGTGTTACAAAAAAAAATTTAGTTTTTTTTTTTTTTTTTACCGCAAAAATAAACTGGGCATCGCTGAACGCTCATTCTCCGCCCAAAGGTAGCGCTAGAGGTCACAGCCAGGTGCCAACATTTCAGCCCGATCCGATTATTTATTCAAAAGTTATAAGCGATTTTCTGAAAACCTCAATGGGAAAATGGCGGCCAACGGAGTTATCGTATACATGGGGCTCTATGGCGCCAGCAACCGAAAACGGGCAGAAATGGGCTCCATTTTCCCATTGAACTTTTCAGAAAATCACTTATAACTTTTCAATAAGGTAGCGGATCGGGCGGAAACTTTAGCACCTGGTTGTGACCTCTAGCGCTACCTTGGGGAGGAAAATGAGCATTCAGCGATGCCTAGTTTATTTTTGCGGTAAAAAAAATATGTGCAAAATTTTTTGACACCCTGTACTTTGCAGGTACACTTAAAAAAACTATTTTGTGCCACTGCGGCGCTTATTTTGGTCAAATGAAGTGAAGGATAGGTGATACAAATGTTGTTTCTGTTTTATTTCACCACATTTTTAGTCGTAATAAACACCCGAATGCCCCCAAAGGATTTTCTGTTAACTTTGACAAAAAAGGCTTAGCGATAATCTTTTCATAAACTATGCCAGTTTATATTTTCTTTTTTCTGACTCCTGTCGTTTCATGCATTCATAGACTCTTTCAATGATTACACCACTTTCGAGCAGCTCTGTAGCAAATCCCAGCACGATAAGTTAAGAAACCGATTGATTATATCCCTTCGAACCGCCGTCGATCCTTTTGACTCAAGCGGCGTGGGGCTTGATCTGGTTCAATATGTTCGTTTGCGCGTGTCGACACTGAATAAAGATGTTGGTTCCCCGAAAAGCAGACCCACGAATCTGTGAATCATAAAACCATCATTACAGCAGCCACATTGAGAAGATACCTACAGAGGTCAAAATTTGCGAGCGAGTTGGCTGGAGGAAATCGGCCGTTCGGCTCGCATAAAGTGTGTCCAGGTTTGTTCCGCCATTTCGCTTCGAAAGAAAAGACGCTCTAAGTATTCATGAACCTGGCCTGGCACAGCAAATACTTTTATGCTGCGTATTAATTGCGCGTCATGGCGCTCACCCAGCTTGCGCGCGGATAACATGCAATGAAATAACAAAAAGAGAAAAGCTAAAAAACCTGCATATTTATTTGAGTGACATTTTCTCACGATCCCTTCTTACCGTACATCCACAGACGTGAACAAATGCTTGTATTGAACCGCGGCTGGTTCATAATAGAACGCTAGAATACCGCTGTCATAGTGGAGTCATGCGAGCGTTGAAGAAGTTTCTAGACGGGAGTGGAATAGCAGACGAACGAAGGCGAAAACGGATGCCGACGCGCAGCCTTCATAACCGCGTCTGTGCATTGCAGACGACAATAGAC